TATTTATTGAAACATGAACAATAAATATTTGAAACTTTTTTTTACTTTTCATGGAATTCTTGAAAACAATCTGGATGTAGAAAAACATTGCACTTTTTGCATGAATAAATTGTTTGTGATTGACAATTGCGACATCTTCTTCTTTCATTTTTTCGAATAATGAGATGACCAATATCGTCCTTTCTTATAGCTGTAGGTAGAGCATTTTTCGAAGGCCGACCCAAATTTGTGTTGGTAATGGATACTGCAGACTCATTGATAGTTTCTTCATTTTTATTTTTAGATGATGATTTTAACAAACTCAAAACAAGTTTTGATCTGTAGTCAAATTGTGAACTTTTTTCACCATTTACCAAATTATAAAACTTCCATGAATTGACCACTGCACTGTCTACTGCGTTGCTAAAAAGTGGCCACCACCATTTTTTCCCTTTGACTCTAATCCTGTAATTTGCTATACCATTATCATGCAGATCAACGCCACCCATGTTTTTATTGTAATCCTGAATCACGTTAGGTTGCTGGACATTGACAGTTTTTTTTTCTTTTCTATTATAACGTTTTGCGATTACTAATGGATTAATTGCACCAACGTTAGTCAAGACCGTCACAACTGAATTGTCATTCCATCGAACTGCGCAAATTTCATTTTTTTTTTCAAAAGCAAAGTCAAATGTTCCTTTACATTCTTTTCCCAACAGTTTGACAGATTTTAATTTACAATTACCAATGCGATTTTCTCTCACAGTGCCTGTCGCAAAGAATCCTTTTTCTCTTAGCATAGCCATTAGAGAATAACTAGTAAAAAAGTTATCGAAAAATACTTTATGCAAGTTTGGATTTTCAACAGACTCCAAAAGATTGAATACAACTTCTGAGCCTAATGGCAAACCTTCTATTCGTTTGGTACTAGAACCACCATAAGGTGAAAACTGAAATAAGTAACCATTTTCAGAAGTTAAACACCATAACTTGAAGCCAAAACGAACTGGTTTTCCTCTAATAAACATTTTACATGAATGCCGACCAAAGTATGGTACCATTTCTTCGTCTATTGACAAATTATGAGCAAAAATACCAAACTGAACAAACTTTTGATTCAATAAATCGAAAAAAAGGACGCAACTTTGAAAATTTATCTAAGGGGTTGAGATTATGATTATCAGCTAAATGCAAATTTTTTTTTTATGGAACGAAATTTATTTCTTGACATTGTATTTCTTACTAAAGTTACTTCTTTATCTTCATCTTTACTCCAGTAGCAGTCCATTTGGGGTAAAGTATGGTATCCTGTTAGTATCATAATCCCTAGGAATTTTAAAAGTTCAGACTTTTCAATAAAAAAAATCGTGTCTATTTTGATCTTTCGCGTATTTCATACTGAAATCAATAATTAATTGCAAGACTGTGTCGTCGAAAAAATAAAGAAAAACATTTGAGTGGATCAATTCCTTCATAAGTCTCAATTAGGTTTTTTATATTTTCTTTTTCGGCGTTTTCGGGAAATGATGAATACACGGGATTTGCTTTAGATTTCCATATTGGCGTATAATTTTGTTTTATATTACCAATTTTTTTTTTTTTACTAGGATTTTCTGGCGGTTGTGAGTCTACATTTGGAGTTCCAGCCATTTCAAAATTATGATTTAAAATTTCAAATGTACCACATATGTCACTACTGAGTACATTTGTATCATCATTTATTACAATTGCATTATCGTCTACATTTTCCTCATCAGTGAGACAATCAACATCTGGGGGAATTATAATAATATCAGTGGGTTCATCATCACTCACGTCTACATTATCTAAAAACTCCAGTATCTCTTCCGATGTTTTTAACCTTTTGAACTCACTCATTTCTATAATAATAAATACTAAAATGTAAATAAACGTACCTACCAATGAATAATTAAAAAAAATAAAACTTACTTAGGCAGACTTACAGCGATTGACCAAACCAATTATTGTAGAAACAAAACAGATATAGAAAATAGAATTACAAAAATAAGTTGCAATGACCAAACAGATTTACGAACAAACGCGATAACGTCGTCAACTAAATCGTGTCTATAATCTCAATTACTCGGTATTGGATATTCGTATATTTATAAATTATTATAATAATAGCTGTTGTCAGAAACATCAATGTACGCGGGAACACCGTGTTCTCGCGTCCGCCAAGGTCACAAAACGACCGGTACTGGAATTTATATGCTACAAACCGCCAACGTTGCGTGTACGCAACATAAACTTTGAACTTCAAATTTTAGTATGAGAAATGAGCGAAAGTTAATACAAATGATCTAAACACATCGAATACCTTTTGAAAATAACGATTTTTACACAGTTTGAACTTTTAAAACACAAATTTATATATTTTTCAATTTCTCAAAAATGTATAATATTATACATCAAAAATGTCTTAATTCTGTCGTTTATAATATCAATCATATACATGAGAAACCGGTATTCATATTTTTTATTTATCTGTCGGTGTATTTTTAATCAAATAGTATCACAGTTGAATTAAAAAAAAATTGTAATCCAGCATAAAAAATTTTTTTTAATTAATGTTGCGTACACGCAACTTTGGCCGTTAATGGGTTAATACTGTAACTTATATTGATTGTAAACTGTTGTAATCGTTGTAAAATTTTAAACTTGTAATTAATTATAAAACTATAACTATAAGGAATTAATTTCTGTTTTGCAAACATAAATTAATTTTTTAGGTGGGGAGGTGTCGCTTCCCGCGTAGTCACATAATAAAATACATCACAAGGAGGTTCCCATGATCATCAAAAACCACAACTATGGATAAGTTAGATTATTGTGTTCACGTGGTTATTACACTGGAAATTACAATAAGGAATTAGAATATCGAAATCACAAGCGTGGACAAGTGAAAGTGTTCACATAAACGTTTTTATGGGAAATTGAAATAAAATAGTTAATCGAAATATCCTGGGTATCTGCGTCAATAATTATGTCACGGTCCGGAGATAGCGCGCTCACACTCACAATCAATAAGAAATTATCTTATTTTACTATCGTTTTCATATACACACACACACACACTTGGGATTTACACACACACTTGCATATATCAGATATAAAAGGGACCTGAAAATAAGGGCAAATCAGAAAAGTTTTGGCTATGCTGCACCGAGCACCTTCACGTCAATGTATGTCATGGTCCGGACTTAGAAATATTTCAAACTATTTTTATAAGTTATAATTGTTAGGACTAAAGGTGCGTATCCATTACGCGCGGCAAACTCTCGAACATTGGCTCGCGCGGCAAACCGTTTATTTGCCGCGCGAGCCATTTGATGTATCAACTTTATTTTAAAGCGCGGCAAGTTATCCAGCTCACTCAACTCCTGCTACAGAGTGCAATCCTAACGTTCAGTCTTCGCGTACAAGTGTGCAACCATGGACTTTTCACGTGCACGAGCAGCTGCTGCTTTCATCATAATACACCACATTATTAAAAAAAAAACCTAAACGAAAAGCGCAATGGTGGATGAAGAAATTGTACGTTAATCGAATACAGTGTGGTGTTAAACTTTTAGAAGATATGAGATATGAAGCCGTTGAAGATACAATAAAAAATTTTACAAGAATGACAACTATAGAAACTGAAGCACTTAAAATCATTAATCGAGCCACAGGTGAAGAAAATGGACACACAATTTCGAGAAGCGATTTCAGTAACGGAATGATTAGGCATAACATTAAGATTTTTAGCAACTGGAGACTCATATACAAGCCTGCAATACCTTTTTCGAGTATCAAAACAATCCATTTCACGAATAGTTCCAGAAGTTTGTGATGCATTATGTAATGCTCTGAAAGATTGGGTTGAGGTAAGTAAATAATGGACACTTTTAATTTAACATATTACCATTTATTGCAATCGTTTAAAATTAAAATAAACTTTATAATAAAAAAAAAGAAATTATTCACTTTTAATCAGTTCTGAATCCATTCTAAATCTTCTTCAATAGAGGAGCTTGAAGATGGTTGTAAAGGAAATTGAACTTGTGGCTGAGGAGACAGAACTGGAGTCTGAGGAGACGGAACTTTAGTCTGAGGAGATAGTGTTGAGTTTTGAGTAGTATTGTAATAGTAAGCATGTCCAAGATTAGTAGGAGTATAAAATCCCAAATCAGCTTCATAAATCACACTTTGTTGATTGCATTTTTCACGTAAATTAATGTTCGTTGATCATATTTACGGAGTTCGTTAGCTATGTGCTGGCCATAAGTATAGTATGAGTCGGTTGACGATGATGTTTCATTTAGAATTTGAAACGCTTTTTCCAACATAGGAGACTCTTCTTCGGTATTTTTTTTTCTTTTTTTCTTTTTAACTGTAGGACTATAAGGAACTTTGTAAATATCTGTTGATTCTTCAACATGTCTCTGTACTGTCCGTAACTGATGGTGTGGGTTCTCCATCATTATTTTCAGATGTTATCACATTTTGAGTGGTTGATATCTATAAAATAACGAATAAAATTAATAAAAATAAATATTATGCTTATTTAATTTAATTGTTACAGGCACCAGACTCTGAAGAAGAATGGTTAGAGATAGCACACGATTTTGAAAGAAAATGGAATTTTCCTCATGTAATAGGTGCGTTAGATGGAAAGCATGTAATGTTACAAGCACCGGTTAACAGTGGTACAGAGTATTATAACTATAAACATTTTTTCAGTATAGTACTAATGGCTTTAGTAGAAGCTGACTATTGCTTTAGGTACGTAGATGTTGGTTGAAAGGTAGATATTCTGATGATGGTGTTTTCAAGAATACTAAATTATATAAAAAACTCGAAGAAAAATCTTTGAAAATACCCCCTCCATCAATACTTCAGGTCCCCTATGCTATCAAAATACCTTATGTAATTCTGGCTGACAAAGCTTTTTTACTTAATGAATACAGTATGAAACCATTTAAAGGAGAACCAGCCAGAGGTTCTCAAGAAAGAATCTTTAATTACAGGCTATCTCGAGGACGTCGAGTAGTCGAAAATGCTTTCGGAATTCTGAGCTCAGTATTTAGAGTACTACGGAAGCCTATGTTACTAGAACCTAAAACGGCTACTAAAATTGTTCTAACCACTATTCATTTGCATAATTATTTGAGGAAAAAACCAAATACGCGATCACTATACACGCTACCTGGATCTCTAGATAGTGAGATAGATGGGGAATTTAGACCAGGAACTTGGAGAAATGAACCTGCACCTATACATCACTACTGCCTATGCCTTGTATTCCACGAAAAGCTGGAAACTATGCGAAAAAAATACGTTCACATCTAGCACATCATTTTGTTACCAATGGTGAAATACCGTGGCAAAACAGATATTTAAATTGTTAACTTACATCTTCTGTTATAGAATCGGATGTTTCATTTGGTATGTCTTTATCTTTCATAAAATCACAGTCGTCAAAAGTAAACCACTTTGATACGTAAACTTGATGTGTACCTAAAATAAAATAATATTAATACAATTAATAATTCATAAAGTGTTAAATGTTAAGTTAATGTTAAAATTAAAAATTATCATATAATTACTACTATTATTAATTCTAAATATTATCAACAAGTAAAATTCAAAATAAAAACTTAGTATATTATACAGTATATTTTATTTGCCACATTATCCCTTTCACTACCTACGGTACATTGGTAGTCAATACAATAAAATTTCATATAAATATACAATAATTTCATATGTAACCATTCAGCAATTCGAAAATGTGTTGAGGTTTTAATTTATTAGCCATAATTAGAATGAAAAATCGGGAATTGAATATTAAATAAAATTGTATTAAATAATAAAATATTGTATACGATTCTGATTGTAAATAATACTCGTTACTTGACAACAAACACCATATGAATAAAAATGTTTATAAATTTATTTATAATAATATGTATTATTATAATTTATAAACATTTTTATGCATGTGTTTATGCATGTTAAAAAAAATATCTGCATTGATGATAATTGTAACTATGGAGATAAGATAAAAACGGTGGGGAAAGATAATTCTAAAAATTTAGGTTTTTTATTATCATTAATATTGCCGTTATCGTACTTGTATGTACACATGGGTAGTGAAAGGGTTTTAAATAATATAATAAATAATACTTTTTTATGTATTTCTGTGGTATCTTAAATAAATTATTTAAGTATTCTTTACAATACTGTGTGATATTTACCAGAACCAGTAATAAGACTTTTGGCTATTCTTGATTTCTCTCTTCTATAAAGGTACGGTTTCCCTTGCGCGATCGCGAACGCGAACCGCGATCCAAGATCGCGCGGCTGCTGATCCAATGTAAAATAAATAGCGTTGGTTTCCCCTGCGCGATCGCGGTCGGCGATCTAAATTCGATCGCGGCGCGAACGCGAATGACTGGTCTTCGAGCAGTCAAATCGCGTTCGTGCCGCGATCGACTTGTTGTTTTGATAATAATTATTAATAATAATGCAATCGTGCAATGTTGACAATGTTCTCATTTACGTTTGAACATTCGTTGACGTCGGTTATTCAAACATGAGTTCTGCAATGGTCAAGTTTAGTAAGGAGCAAGACGAGATATTGGTTGAATGTATAGCTAAACATCCCCCAATTTACAATCCCGAAAATAGGGATTATAAAGATTTGAATATACGAGATGCAATTTGGAAGGATATAAGTGGCAATGTTGGGCGAAGTGGTAAGCAAAATATTATAAATATTGTTTGTAAAAAGTATTATATTTATAGGAATAATAATATATTAATGGTATAAATAATTTTTTTCAAATAATACATTGAGATTAAGTATTTATTTTGAATATCATTATTATAATATTACGAGTAGAATAAGATGAGTACTACAGATCGTTTAAGTTTAAAATGAACTATTATTTTCAAGTAAATACTTTGACACTGTCTATTAATGAATGATTATTATTTATTTTAGAAGTGATAAATGCACATGGACGTGTACTGTGTGCATCTTTACTTTAAGCTAAAAATAAATTATAATTTCTGGACGTTTATCTTTATCGTTTATATAATATCAAAACTATTTTTAATCTCTGTGATATATATTTTTTATTATGAATCATTTTTAGAAAAACCAAATAATTGTAATGTTAGAATTTTTGCGTGAGACCGTCACTTATATTACCATTACTAAATATTATACATATCAACTTATATTTAGCAGCAGTTAAAACTTATTATTTATTTAAAAAAAAACAAATTACAAGTATAATTTAAATATTGGTAGATGTTCTGGAAATTTGATGATTTTGCCACGAGACTGTTCCTTCTTGAATAAAAAATTGTTTAAATTTTTCCCTCACATCAAAACCATCTACACTCGCAAAGCCACCTCTACTGCATAAAGTGCCCATCGCAATAGTTTGTCCTTCGTCATATTCATAAAAAATCTTATTACCTTTTTCCAAAAACGCATCACTCAGCATATTGTGCAAACAACATGCGACAGTTACTAAATCGTCACATACTTCTACATCAATTCCTATTGCAGTATGAAATATTCTAAAAACTTGTGCTAATAAGCCAAATGCATTTTCCGTCACTCTATGACAACGACTCAACCTGTAATTAAAAATAGTTTTTGCTCTGTCTTGTCTAGCTGAAGATCTAGAATATGGTTTCATGATATACCTGTGAAGTCTGAATGCTTCATCGCCAACAATAACAAATGGTGTAGAATTATTAGTGCCTGGTAGTTTTTCGTCGTCTGGAAAATTAAAATTTCCAGAATAAATTTGCTGTCCCATTTTTGATTTTCCGAATATGCCACTATCTCCTTCTTTGCCATAGGATCCAACATCAACGACTAAAAATTTACAATTCGCATCTACCAGTGCTAATAAGACGAGGGAAAAATGTTCTTTATAATTGAAATATAATGAACCGCTATTTTTCGGGCACTTCATTCGAATATGTTTACCGTCGATTGCGCCAATACAATATGGAAAATTCCATCTTGTCCAAAACTCTTGAGCTTTATCTTCCATATTTAATTTACTCGGATTAGGTATACAAAGTGGTGACAGATGTTTCTTCATAGATTTTAAGGTATTTTGTATTATAATACTAATATAGCTGTGCGATATCCGGAAAGCAAAAGATAAAGAATGGTACGTTTCTCCAGAAGCTAAAAATCTGAAAAAAATAATATATATTATATGCATAATGCATGTCGTTATTATTTATAGTAAATAAATATATTTCATTTTTTATTTATTTATTTGAATCAAAATACACTAATAATACAATAGTTACTAATAACTAAATAACCGACAACAATTTGTATGTTAAATATTTTATTTGTTAGTTTACGAAATATAATATTTAATCTGCAGCTTACTAATTATTATACTGCAGTATGCAGATGCGTTTTATGTTTAAACTTAAAACAAATTTAAGTTTCATTTGTTAATTTGTTACAAGTACCTTATCATTTTTTTTATAAATTATTTTTTTTATTATTAAACAGTATTTTAACTCTTGTTTGAAATCGGTTATGAATATTGATTTGTATTAGATGAAGACTGCAAGAGAAGGTACAAAAACATTAAAGATGCCTATTTAAAAAATAAACGGGCAAGAAAAATGAATACTGGAGCAAGTGCCTCTTCAAAACCCTCAAAATGGCATTTAGCACCATTTTTAACTTTTTTGGATGCAGTACCATTAGAAAGAAAGTAAGTACCTTATTACATATGATAGAGTGATTGATTTCAAGTGCAACACTAATTATTTCGCAAACTACTGACTTTTTTCAAAATTTGTTTTTTTTTAATTTTGTATTAACTTCAATTAATTTTAATTTTTTTTTTGCATTTATATTTATTAGTTAACCACTATAACTTTTGATTTTAAAATGGAAACATGTATTATAAATTCCATAAATATATAGATACGAGTATAGCTTTTTTTATGAATTATAATATTCAAATTTAAATTTTTCGTTTATCCGTCATCGAGATACAGTTCCTCAAAGTTTTGTGGGGTTTTAATGTTTTGCGTCTTAGTCAGTAAAGACCATAAGTTATTGGTAATTTATGGCTAAATGCAAGAAATGGTATCATGATAAAGTGATTGGCCACTGTGTTGCTCGTAAAATCAATCACCCAGTTAAGATATGACTAGCGTACGGACATTGTAGTAGTAAAACAATAGTAAAATTGATTACAATATTGCACTAAAATTTTTTATGAATTTCTGACTAAAAATCATTTGCACATTTTCATGATATTTACGTATTTTTGTTAAAATTCAAACTTTAAATGCTTATAAAAATACATAAATAAAAAAACACACCATTGTGAAATCAATACATTCATACACTCAGAATCGAAAATTTGAAAAATAGTTAAAACTTTTGTGTAAATGACTAAGTTCAACTAAATTGAAAAAAATCCGAAAATTGCACTTAAGAGTTTTAGATTTTAATTCGTACTTAAATGGAACACATTTAAAACTTACTTAGCAATAAATTGGAACAGTAGAAGGAAAGGTGCAAATGCTACAACATCCTTGCCCTAGTAATGGCTATAATAGCAAATTATTAATATTTATTATTAATTTTAACAGCACTACTTCAAATATATATGATACTGATAATAATGAAGATTCTGGCTCAGACGAAGAGGAAATAAATATCACACAAGATGATATACTGCAGTCATCATCAGTAACGCAATGTCCTCAATCTCCATCGACTTCAAAATCACAAAAATCGACTCATAAAAGAAAAAATTTAAAAGTCACTGAATTATTAGAAAAACGATCAAAAGAAAGAACAGAGCTGATGACACAACTGATCACTAAAAAAAAAAATACGGATGAGTACGATGATGTTGATCATTTTTTCAAAAGTTTAGCTCTATCTGTCAAAATGTTGCCACACTTGATTTCACAGGCGAAATTGAAAATGTTGACAATTGTGACTGACTTGGAACTTCAAGCTGCAAATAATCATACGCATAACGTCCACATCATACCTAGCATTAGCAAAGTATCATCAGAGTCAAATACTTCTACTAGTCGTTCCCCATATTCTAACAACTTTATTCCATATAGCCCACCTTCACTAGATTCACCATCATATTCAAATTTTCAACAACAGTTTGGAACACCAAATCCAACTACATTTACATGGAACACCAATTCTCAATAAATTTAACAATATATTTTAAAATATTATCTTATAAGGTATTTTGATTTTTTTAAATTAATTGTTCATAAGTCAATGAAATATATGATAAGGTAACTATTATTTTTAACTACTATTTTTTTTTAATATTATTTTTTTTTTAACTATTACTATTATTTGTATCAATAGAAAACTGATTTATTTTTAACTTTGATACAAATTGTATATTAAAATAAAAAAACAGTATTCCACAAATAAATTTATAAATCTGAGTTCTTATTTCATTGTACTTTATCTGTACTTAATTGAAAAATTGTACTTACCTCAATGTAACCGCCAATTTTTCTTCTGGTGATATGGGTTTCCTTATAAAAAATGTCGGATTTAATGTTAAATCGTCTCTTATTAGATTCAAAATAAAATCGAACTGATTGCGGTTTAATCTAAAAAATTCCCTGAACTTAATTTCATTATTTTTTAGATTGCCGTTGATGAGTATTTCATGATAACCTTCGGTACTCCTCTTTTTAAATAATGGATCGTGTTGCTTTCTTTTTTCTTCCGACAAATACCAGTGCAAGATCTCATCATCTTCTTCTTCTTCTAGCAAAAGAATTTTTAAGATTTCTTTATCGACTGGATCCATTATAATAATTTTTAAAAACAAACAGTACTCGTGCGCCGTGAACTTACTGAACACTAGTGAACACTTCAAAATATCGAATAAGACTGACGGACGAAATATAAATATAAAATATAAATTATAAATCTTTCGATCGCAACGTAGAATCGTCTAGAGCAAACCGACATGACGCGATCGCGATCTTAATTCGTAGTTCGCGTTCGCGGTTCACGTTCGCTGTTCGCGATCGCGCAAGGGAAACCGTACCTTAAGACGCCAGAAGCGTTGTCATTTTCTTCTTCAGTTCGACAGCAGGTATGTTCATTACTGAACTTATTTCTTTCCACGCATCTTCCCTCACTGATTTATTGTGGTAAAGTGGAGATTTACTATTCCATAAAAAATCTTTAGCTCCATACAATTGTATTAAAACACGACACTTTTCATTATCCATGGTGGTGGCAAAATCGTCGTATTGCCGTGCGAGCAAATTTGAACCGACAATGACCGTCCCTACTGCTCGCGAGCAATTAACTGAAGCCCCTTTGCTGCGTGCGTTTTTACCGACACAATTTGGCTCGCCGCGCGGCGTGTTCGAGCGCGGCAACAAAAATGTTGGCTCGCGCGGCAACTAGGTATCCATTTTGCGCGGCTGCCGCGCGAGCCAATGTTCGAGAGTTTGCCGCGCGTAATGGATACGCACCTTTAGAACAGTGGCGGCACTAAGGGTGTGCGAGCTGTGCAGTCGCACAGGGCCCCGCGCCTTCTGGGGCCCCGCAGTTAACAAAATAGTCGAGCAAAAGTCTGTAGTTAATTCATTATCTACTAGGAAAATCGGGGCCCCGGAGTAAAATTTATAAGTATGAGACCCAACACCGTTTAATGTTTATATTGTCAAATATTTAAAATTAAATTTTACCATGAAGTAGTCGTAATCTTGGTCATGCTAGATAACGACTAAACGATTACGCCGATAGCGCGTAGTGAATTGTGGGGAAACGGTCAATTGCGTAGTTGTATAGGTACACAATTTATTTCGATAATCGAGATAATGATTATAAAATATAAACTATGGTCTATGATTTATGATAAAAATTATTTTGGTTATTTGGTGTGCTGGTGTGTACGACGACAGTCCACGACAAAAGAGCTCCTCCATAAGTTATAGTAAGTTATTTATCATGTTATTTTAAAATTATATGAAATTAAATGAATTTACCGAATTCCAGTACATAATTATTATAATAAAATATTAACCCTTCAATGCCAAGTGTTGCATTTTTGCAACATCATTTTCAATAGTGCGTGATAGGAACTGTTTACAATATAAATACATATAACAACATCTAGCGGATAAAATGTGAACTAATATATTGATTTATACCTTGTTTACTGTTTTTAATCAAATTGTTTTGTGATTATTCGAAATCCAAGTTCAAAATCTGATAACATGTGATATCACTGTTTTTTTCATTATTCACATACTAATTTATTGTATTTTTAATGAGAATTTGAATAATATTTTAATATATTTACAAACATAAAGGTATATACTTTCATTATAATTAATAACCTAACCATATTTATTAGTTTTTAATAATTTATGAACCGTTTTTTCATGTTGCAAATCGGCAACAACGGTCGCTGCAGGTAGTAAAGGTAGTAAGGATTATTTGTATTATGTATTTTTTTTTAGATGAATCGTATTCGCGATGAGGAAATAGAAAACATTTTCTTTAATTTAAATTGGAATGATAGTGAAGATGGTGCAGATTTATCTGATCTTGATGATATCCCGGACAGTAATGAATATTTTAACCATATACTAGGTAGTTACTATAAAGTATTATGATAGTTTAGATGTACAATATAGGATTTTGCTTATATAATATTTATTTTAATTTTTAAGACAATGTTGATGACAGTATTGATATTCAGAATTTACCATTAGAAATTATTGAAGAGGATGGTCAGGTTATACCAATCCCTTCCACATCAATTGAATCAACCCATTGAACTTACATATAATGCAACCATTACTTCAACAAATCTGCGTCCTAATAAGATTAATAAGACTCCAACCATAATCACCCCCCAATCAACAAACATTAGTCCTCCATTTGGAACTGTATCAGAAAATATTTCTTCCATTCAAACTAATAATGTAGTATATGAGACTGAGCAAATAAATATTATATAATATTATATAATAGGGTCAAAGAAGAACATAATTTACCTGTGCAGTTTGAGCTAGCTGACTGGAGAAAAAATATAGCATACTCATTAACAAAATCAGGAGATTTCAAGAATCAAAGAGGACGTCGTTCTATAGAAACTAGAAGAGCTTCGACAAGGGCTTTGGCTATGCACCCAACTCGGGCAGTTAGAACTGATGGTGTTGGACATTCTCAAATAAGGGCTGATAAACGAGGAAGATGTAAATTCCCAAAATGTAATGGATACACCTGGATACAGTGTAACAAATGTAATATTCTTTTATGCAACTCAAAGACTAAAACATGTTTTAATAGATATCATGATGAATAATCTGTGATAAAAATGTTATTTAATTTTGTTGTATTATTATTATTTTAGTTATTCTGTTATTGTTTTATAATTCACAAGTATTTCAAAAGTGATGAATTTATTTTAAAAGTTGAAGTTTTTATGTTAATTTTATTATTATTATATATTATTTAATATTTTAAAAGTTTAATTTATTGTTATTATAATACAATTAAAATAATTATTATTTTTTACAATTAACATAATAATTTATGAAATACAAATATATATGGTTGCTATTGATTATGACAAAAGTGAATTATTCATGTGAAAAAAAATGTAGGTGTTATAAAATTTATTGATATCATGTTTGCCCACTGTTGCAAAAATGCAACATACTTAAAAACTCAATTTTGAGTTTTAAGATAGAGTTTGTGATTTTTTTCATTATTTTTCCTGAATTGCTGGTATGTTAATTAGTTTAAAAAGATTTATTTAACAAAAAAATGTAGAAAAATAAATATTTCATTTAGTATTAATTGCTTATATTTTGTAAGTGTATTAATTTATAATAAATAATAATTGATTATTATCAAAATTTAAAATATAAAATTATGAGAAATGTTAGTAGTATCATCAATTGGGAGTAGAACCACCTGCAAATAGGATAAAACGTGCACCTCTTGCTGTCATTTTTATTTTATTCTATACTTATTCAGAAATACATGAAATTAAATAATTTTGTATCAATTTTTATATTCCTAAAAATATGTTATAGATTCTGAATGAAAGGGGAGAAGCTATTAGTTTTACCTGTAAATGTATATTAATAATATTAATACCTAAAAAATACAATTTATACAATTCATAATGTCAATAAGCCATGTGACTCATGGGTTTTTTTTTATTAAATATAATAAACTCCACCATCTGTATTTTATTAATAAATAATAACACAGAAATAAATAAGGAAATTAAGGTCTTATAAGTATGTAATATATTGACAGCAGCGTTCGAGATTTCGATTACCCGGCTAGTATCTAATGTAGTAGGAAAGACTGGGTGTGGTAGGACGGGATGTTTTTCAATTTTCATAATGATCGGATACTCCATAAAAATTGTATACACATTTAAAGTTAAAAATTGATATAAGGACAGTCGATTTTGGTATACGAATTTATATTAATTTATTAAAACGTGTGTACAAAAACTCTTGACGGACGAATTTTGAAATTTTTTTTGTATCGTTAGGTAAGTATATGAGTAAAGTCATTACATTTTCAGAACTTTTTATCAAATATTAAAAATTTTATTATATAAAATCTTTCATAAAAATTGGTTATTTCAAAGTTTTTTGGGACAAATGTGCTCAAATTATTTTGAAAATGTCCAACACTAAGAATAATTTATTTATATAATATAATATAGGATACAATTTTCAAGTTTCTTTTTTCTTTTAATTTCCCAATACTTTTAGAATTATGAATTAATAAGTAATAACTAAAATTTGAAAAGTGAAAATCTTTTTATGGTGGATTTTTCCAAATTTCTGGAAAGAGTATTGAGATTTTCAAAAATTGACCTCTTTAAAATACCATCTCAGTCCAATTTTGAATCTTTAGCAGCTGGACGAAATTATTGGACCATGATTTCTATACGAAAAAGTGTTTACGGAAAAAAAATTAACATTATTGTAAAACTATAAGATCCTTCGCTTCATTCAGAATTTAAAATATTTGTATAATGAATTCGTAATTCTTGAGAACACGTAGTCATAGACATATCAAATAATTCTTAAACCAAACATTTTTCATTGATAAGACAAATAAAGAAAATGCTTATTTTTATTTGTATTTTAATGTGATAACGCTTTTGTACGTGCTATATTTTGTAATGGCTTTCCGTGATCGCGATATAGGTAGAAAATACGATTCTGGAAGTGCCAAAAGGAAAAAAGCTGAAAAAAGAAAAGAACTTGAAGGGCAACTTCGCAACTTATTAACAAAGTTTTTAAAATCTGAAACTGGTAAGAATGTTAGTAATACTGAGACTCCAAAAAAAATTGTTACTTGTGGTACATTAGGATTATATAGTGCAAGTTTAGAAAGTCCCGAAGCACCAAATCATCCTACTCTTGCGGACCCATCTTCATCAATTCCTAAGTACGTGTCTGTCACTTCACAACTTCAGCTAGAAACGATACCGGTACCGGTACCGGGATCACCGCTTTCGAGAGATGTGTCTTCAACACCATCATGTTCAGACCCAGAAATAGAAGAAACTTTTAAATCCGAGTCTGAAGAAAATGATGAAACAAAAGACATTTTAAGTGACTCCTACTTATGGCCAAATCATTTAACCCAATCAGAGCGCACTAGAATTATTGAAAAGGGTCCTGCATTCGCTACAGACAAAGTGTTTCCAAAAAATGAAAGTGGACGTCATTTTAGTAGCATTTACTACACTAGACATTTATCAAATGGTGAGCAACAAAAAAGAAGATGGTTGATTTACTCTGAATCAAATGATTCATTGCTTTGCGTGTCGTCTATTTTATGATGACTCTAAGAGAGCCTTAAGTTCCAAGAAAGGTACAAATGATTGGCAACACTTAAGCGTAATTTTAAAAAGTCATGAAAATAACAAAGCGCACAGAGAGTGTATGGTCAAATGGTTTGATCTAGAAAGACGTTTGAAAATGCAAAACACCATAGATCAAGAGACTGAAGCTCAAATTAGATCTGAAGCTCAACGCTGGAAGAGTATCATGGAAAGGCTTTTAGCAATTATACAGTTTTTGTCTTCTCACAATTTAGCATTTAGAGGTCATAAAGAAACAATAACTACAGACAGTTCAGATAGAAGTGGTAATTTTCTAGATCTTGTAAAACTAATTGCTAAATTTGACCCTATTTTAAGAGAACATTTAAATCATGCCACCAACAAAACAATAGCCAGAAATCATTACTTAAGCAAAGAAATTCAAAATGAGTTTATATCCCTAATGGCAAATCATGTTGTAAAAAAAATTAGAGAAAAAATAATAAAAAACAAATACTATGCAATCATTTTGGACTGTACGCGAGACATTGCAAGAGTTGAACAACTTTCTGTGATTTTGAGAACTACTTATATGGAAACTGCTACAATTGAAGAGCATTTTATCGGGTTTGTTGCTGTTGAAACAACTACTGCCGAAGATTTAACCGACTACTTGTTAAAAGAACTTGAAAATCTTGGCTTAACTCTAGCTGACTGCAGAACTGCAGAGAGCAGAGTTACGACAATGGATCGAATATTTGAGGAGTCCACAACGGTGTCCAACGAAAAATTTTGAACTTAAATCCTTTGGCTTTTTTTGTACCTTGTGGTAGCCACAGTTGGAACTTGATTTTAGGTGATGCAGCGTCATCTAGCGTTCAAGCTCAGACATTTTTTGGTACCTTACAAAGATTGTACACGATTTTTTCATGCTCCTGTCATAGATGGGGCATACCTAAAGAACATGTAGACATATCAGTGAAGCCTCTGTCAGAAACTAGATGGGAGTGTCGAGTGGAATCTGTAAAAGCAGTTAGGTTCCAGTTGAGTAAGGTTTGCGACGCTCTGTTGAGTTTACGTGAAAAGAGTACAGACTGTTCACTTATAAGCGAATGCCATTCATTAGAAAATAAAATTTCGACATTTGAGTTTGTTGTTTCATTAGTCATTTGGTACGACATCTTGGTGAAAATTCACGTTATTAGTAAAATGTGGCAAAGTCCAAATATGAACCTGGATGTAGCAATAAATCATTTAAAGATATTTTTAAAATGGTTAGATGAATATAGAGAGCAGGGTTTTGAGTCGGCACTAGTGACAGGTAGAGAAATAGCTGGAGAAATAGGACTCAGTGAAATAACTTTTAAGTCTACAAGGCAAAGACAGAAGAGAAGACTGTTTGACTATGAAGCTTCGGATGAGACACCAGATTTATCACCAATGAATAGATTTAAAATAAGCTATTTTTATGTGGTAGTGGATACAATCCGTACAAGTTGCGAGCCAAGGTTTGAAGCTCTGAAATGCCATGAAAATAATTTTGGTTTTTTGTATAAGACAATGAATCTTTCCACAATGTCTGATGAAGAGCTGTTAAACAACTGCAAAGATTTACAAGTTACACTATCAATAGGAAATGAACATGACATAGATGGATTAGATTTGTTTGAAGAGCTAAAAATATTTTCAAGTGTCATGATTGAAGTAGAATCTCAGCAGAAAAAAAAGGAAAAACTGAACAAAATGGAATAGTACGGGCGTTAAAGTATATTGTGGACAATAATTTGAGTGAAATTTATCCAAATATAAGTATTGCGCTTAGAATTGTTGCTACAATACCCGTGACAGTCGCGGCGGCCGAAAGAAGTTTCTCCAAATTAAAGTTAATAAAAACCTATTTGAGGAACACAATGACTCAAGATAGACTCTCGGCGCTCGCAATTCTATCAATTGAAAATGAACTCTCATCTAGTTTAGACTTCGAGCATCTGATTGAAGATTTCAGTCAGAAAAAAAGCAGAAGAGTTTGTTTTTGAAAGGATATGTAACCATAACTGTAATGTAAATATTTATACTGTACCTTGTACATAATATTAATTATATTTTATTCTTAATCTATTTAACTTTTTGTCTTATATTGATTGTTAAGACATTCCAACTCGTATTTTTTTAAATTAATTAATTATATACACGATAAACAAACCACTCTTTGAATAAAAAAAAAACTGTGATATATTATAGGTTTTATATGAAATCTATAGTCGTAAGACAGCGGTAATGATGAAACTCTTCTCTAAAAAGCATTAAAAATACATAATATTGCACCTAATTAAAAAATGAATACCCCCATAAAGGTAATAGGGGCCTCACAAATCATGTGCCGCACAGGGCCTCGCGGTGGCTAGAGCCGCCACTGCTTTAGAATAATTTCTATAATCCAAATTATTTAGATTTAGAATATTTAAAAATTGTAGTTAGAATAATTTTATAAGTTTAATAAATTTAATTATTATAAAGTCTTAATTATTCTTCACTACACCTACATCCAAGCATTGACTAAGACATTAGCTCTGAAATCACGGATCAAACGGTTGGCACATTACACTGAAAAAGAAAATTCAACGTTTTTACCGATTAATGAGGGAATCGTAAGCGGGACTATTGCTATTGGAATCGGTCATTCACAATTGGCTGAATTATCAGCCACAATTGATATACTGTATATGTCACCAACAAGTTATTTTAAAGTGCAGACTATTCTAAGTAAAAAAATACATGACGTTGCCATGTACAAAATGTTAATTGCTGGTGAAAAAGAAAAAAAAAATAGCATTGGAAAGTGGTAGTATAGACATAGATGGTATACCTATGTGCACAGTGATTGCAGATGGACAGTAGAGCAAACGTAGCTATAAGACAAAGTATGATGCTTTGTCAGGAGTGGTAAAATTTAAATGTAATTAATACATACTATTACTATATTGTATCATATTATACATATTATAAATGTAATACCTACAGGCGACAATTATTGAATACCGTTCTAAAATAATATTATTTATTGGTATCAGAAATAGATACTGCGTTATTTGCGAACGAGCTCAAATAAATAATGAAACCGCTTTAGAACATGTTTCTTTTATGAACTGGACAAAAGGACCTACTAGTATAGAAGCGGACGTAATAGCCGATGGATTTAAAATAAGTGTGAAAATGCATGGCTTGAAATTTAACCAATTAATCGGTAAAAATATCTGTAAAAAATAAAATGTGTTTATGTATTTTTAAGATTTTTTTTTTAATAATTAAATATTATTCAATATAATAAAATATAAAATGTTTGTCAACAATTTAATTCACATACCGTAATACTAAAATAGTAAAACAAGTTATTTTAATAGTTATATTATGACATGTTAAAATATATTATAGGAAACGGTGACAGTAGTGTTATGAAACGTTCGAAAGAAATAATGCCATATGGATATTCATGTGTTGTTCAAAAAATAGAATGTCGTAACCGGTTCCACGTCAAAATATCCCGGTAAAAATATCCCACGTAACTATTAATTAAAAATGTAAACCTTTTTATACAAGTTACATTGATATTAATACATTTACTGAATACAAAAATCAAGACATTTTTAAAAATATATTAAAATGATATGTTTTTCGTCAAAAATTATTACACTTATTATGATAATATAAAATATAAATTACATAAAGATATTAATACATTTACGGAATACAAAAAATGAATTAAAAAATTTATACTAAAATATGTGCTATTGATTTTAAATATTTATTGTTATTGGTTTCGTCATATCCTTTTACAACAGCAATTAACCGCTCGTCCAAATGTTTATACTTTCGCCTTTTTTTTTGTTGAGGTGCACCAGCTGTTTGCTGCTCCATTTTGGCCTTCTGCAGACCTTGTTCTCGTTTTAACATATTTATGAACTTCCACACTGTTACATGGTTAGCTGCAAGTGCAGAATTAAACGCTCTGTGCCATCCTTCTACTGCATTATTTGTCCTGGGAGAGTCTTCCGTTACAGAATCAAACATATTCCATATTTTAATTGGAAAAGTAGACGCTCTTCGCCTACCACCACGTGTTGGTCTCCCAATCCACGTGTCCTCAAAATAATCAACAAATGTTCGTAATTCTTCTTCATTGTCTACGTAGTAGTTGGAATTAATTAGTTCTTCAAATGCAGAAATAACATTATCAACAGGTACAAAAGCAAGAGCCGATAATTTTTTTAATTCGTGGGCAAATATTGCGTCTGTGGAATACCTGTTCTTTAATCCACACGATTGCAATTTTCGCCATAAGCACTGGGTAAAATGAAAAAAAACATCCATGTATTTTAACATCAGTATATAAATCTTTAAAAGATTTTATAAATGCTTGTTCGAAATCTATCACAATAGCTTTTGGTCGTAAATTTGATTTGAGTATATTAATTTGATTTAGTACTTCGGAATAACTATTTTCGTTTTTATTACACATTAATATATATATATAAGTGGATATACAGTGCAGTCAATGTTACCATGAATAGTATACAGCTGATAAAATATATTGGGTACAGATTTAAACGTTCCATCTGCGAACCATATTTCGGAGACATTCAGTATATTTAAATTTTCATTTGTTGTGAATATCAATATTCTGTTATTAATATCCCAATTTTCATTATTTTT